CTGCGCGCTGCCCCCCTCCCCCCCTGACCCCGCTGCAGCCCACCCCCCCGCCCCACCCACACACACCCCCGCACCACCCCACCCCGCCCCACACACCTCCTGCGGCTCCGAGGTGCCCCTCAGGAAGGAGGCCAGCTGGTCTCCCGCCTCGGCGTCTGCCGCCAGCACCAGGGCAGCCCGGTAGCCCAGCAGAGAGTAGCGGTCTCGCGGCACGGAGCACACGTAGCGCTCAGCCTGCGGGGTGGGGTGCAGGGGAGTGTGTGCAGGTGGGTGGGGTGGGGTGGGGGAGGGAAGAGGGCAGCAGGAGGAGCGGCTGGGGCAGCAGCAAGGTCAGGGAGGGAGGCCAGCAGCACGCAGCGTCAGGTGGAATGGGGCAGCTGACCAACACAACCATCCGGTGCCAAAACAAGCCCCGCAGCTGGGCTGAGCTGACCTGGCGTGCCAGCTCAGCGTTGCGCCTGCCCAGTGAGGCCACCACCTCCTTGGGCCACCCCTCCACATCCTCGCCGTGCTCCGCCCACAGCTGCTCCAGCACCGCCTGCGCAGCATACATCTTGTCCAGCAACGCCAGCGCCGGCCGCGTCGCCGACTGCACGCCCAGCGCGTCGGCGGCGGCGCCGCCACCCCCCGCGCCGCACGCCGCGGCCAGGATGCTGTAGCACTGAAGGCGGTACGGCTCGCCCGACCGCACCGCAATCTTGGCCAGCGCCTGCATGGGGAGGCGGGGCGTGCAGGGGCAGAGGGGCAGCCCAGTGTCGGAAGCAGCAGCAGAAGGGAGGGTGAGTGGGAGCCGTGCTAATGACCCACACAGCAGGCAGCACGGCCTGCTTCCAGCACAGGGCAGCCAGCGACACCAAGGGACGCCAGGTGTGCCGCCCGCGACGCTGCCGCACCTGCGCCGCCGCCAGGCGCAGCTGCCACACGGCGGTGACCATGAGGTCCTGGAGTGCCAGCATGATGCGGCTAAGGGTGGGGCTGCGCCCCCCAAACTCCTGCAGCAGCTCCGCCGCCGACGCCGCCGCGGCTGCGGCGGCGGCAGCAGCGGCCGCATCCGCCTCCCGGTCCTCCGAATCCTCCCCGTCTGCCGCGCCTGCCGCCCCATCCTCGCCGTCGCTGCCTGGCGCAGCCTTGGGGCCCGCCGCTGCCATGGCCGCCGCCGCGGCGGCGCGCATGCTGGCGGGGATGGCGGTCGGGGTGAGCTTGCGGCCGCAGCACTCCTCGCACAGCGTGTTGGCGTTCTCTCCCAGCCACCAGGCCGCCGTGGACACGAAGGAGTTCCAGCCATCCTCCTCCCTCGCCGCCCACGTCACCTCCCCGCCGCTGCTGCCCGCTCGCGCCTGTGTGCTGGGCGGCGGGGGGCTGGCCAGCGCCGCCATCACCACAGCCAGCACCGCGGCCCGGCCCTCGCGCCCGGCAGCCACCGCCGCGTCCCACAGGTCTGTGATCTTGGCCAGGTCGATGCCGGAGGGGGCGATGCCCACCACCGCGGTGGCATACCCCAGGAAAGTGGTGGCCTGCTTGGGCTTGGCCTTGGCGCACTTGAGCACGGCTGCGCGCGGGCAACGAGGGGCAGGCCATGCACGGGTCAAGCAGCAGGTGCGGCGGAGAGAGCAGCGCTGGAGAGAGCAGGACAGCGCGGCTGCGCAGCATCCAGTAGGGTAGGATCCGCCTGCGGAGCCGCTTGCGCCATGAGCGGCTTTACGCGAGCATGGCTGAGCTGTATGGCCCTCCGTGTGCCACCCACCCACCCGTTAGCAGCGCGTCCTGCATGCCGCCTGGCCACGCCGCGCCGCCGCTGCCGCCGGCTTGCACCAGCTTGGCGGGGGTGAAGCTGGTGGCATACCCCGCCGCCTGCAGCAGCAGCAACAACAGAACAGTGGACACAGGGAACAGCAGCAGTCCGGCAGGCTTCCCACCACTCCTCCCACCTTTCCTCCCTTCCCCCTGTCACCACACCCACCCAGCTATGCCTGTGCCTGCGATGGTAGCCACCCACCCACCTACATCCCCGCCCAGAACCCCAGGCCCATCTTCCAACCCTACCTGCAGGTACAGCAGCGCCTCGATGACGGCGCACCGCTCCGCGGCGGGCAGGCTGGCCTCCACCAGCCCGCCCAGCTCCCCTGCCAGCACCCCCAGCACGCGGTCCACGTCGGGGCTGCTGCCGTGGCGGGTGGAGCCAACAGTCTGGGAGGCCAGGCACGACTCTGAAGGCAGGCAGGCAGGCAGGCAGGCACGTGGGTTGGGCGGGAGCGAGTGGGAACAGGCGGAAAGGCACGAGAAGAACACAGTGCAAGCGAGCCAACCGTGCAAGCGAGCCAGATGCTGCCCTCCATCACTACGCAGCCGAAGAGCAGTGGTGGCGCCGCTGCTCCCCTCCAGCCAGCCGCTGGCGTGCGAGGCAGTGGCAGCAGCAGCCCGGCGCTCACCCGCCAGCGACGCCACGGCGGCCGCCGCCACGCAGAAGCGCGCCGCGCTGCCGCCCGCCTTGCGCAGCGCCAGCACCAGCAGGCGGCCCAGCACGTCCACCAGCTTCATGGCGCCCTTGTCTGTGGCGCCAGGCACCGTCACCTGCAGGGGACAGCAGGGGAGGCCAGCGGGCTCCTGGCTGCCTGGGGCGGTGACGCAGAGCCAAGAGGCTCTGCACAACTCGCCTGGGGCAGGCCAGACTTGCAAACGCGCAGTCTTGGGGAACTGCAGCAGGCTGGCGACTCCTGCCCCGTGCCTTCCTCCCCACCCACCTGCATGCCCGCCTGCGCCACCAGCAGGCGCCAGGCCCGGCCGCGCCGCTGCCGCTGCACCGTGTCCTCCCGGCTGCTGCCCGGCTTGCTGGAGTTGAGCGCAGCGCCGGCCGCCGCCGCCACGCCCGTCATCGCCTCGATGGCGCCAAACCGCACCAAGTCGGCTGGGTCGCTGCAGGGGTGGAGGGGCAGGCAGGGGAGCAGGCAGGCAGGCAGGCGTGGCAGAATCTCAGTAAGACATACTCACCATCCTAGCATGTGTGCTCGCAAAGGCTGCTTCAGCTCGCTCTGCCCTTTTAGGCTCAGTATGGCAGGCCAGCCGTGCCCGCCAGCCTGCGTGCCTGCCCTGCAACTCACCGAGTGGCCAGCAGGCACAGCATGTGCCAGAAGGGCGCGCCGTCGCGCGAAACATCGGTGGCCGACTGGTCGGAGTGCACCACGGCGGCGCAGAGGCGGGCCAAGTGCAGCCGCGCAAAGCTGTCCTCCAGGTTCACGCCCTGGCCTGCAGGCGCAGCCAGCGGGGGGAGGAGCAGCGGGTGCTACGGTTGGTGGGTGGTGGCTGGCATCCTGCAATGGTACCAACCCAGCCGTAGCGGTACCAGCCACCAGTCCGAGACACCACTACGGCAGCCAACACAGAAGCGCGCATGCCCGCACCTGGGGTGGCCACCGGCCCCGGGCCGGAGGCCTCGTACTGCTGCGAGGCATCCGCCACTGCCTGGTACATCTCCCGTACCACGTACCCGGCATCCTGCGGGCACCACACAGGCCAGGGCGCCAGCAGCACGCACCGTCAGGCTGACATCCAGCTCGTCGTGCATGCCTCAGCGCAGCAGCGGTGTGCGTCAATGATGCAGCAACCGGGCCAGCGGGCGCGGCAGCAGGGCTCACCCGGTAGGCAACATCCAACCCCAGCGCCAGGGCGTGCCTCGCCCCCACCGCGTCCCCGCTGCCCACCCCCACAGCGAACGAGCGGCTGATCTCGTCGGCGCCGGTGGTGGTGCCCGCCAGCCGGCTGGTGGCAAACGCGGTGTGCTGCAGGTCCCAGTCCGTGGCGGCAGAGCGGCGCGGCGTCTTGCCCAGCGGGCCCGCGGAAGCCTGCTCGTCGGCTGCGGAGATGGCCCGCTGCACTTGGGCCACCAGCTGCTTGCGGGCAGCCGGGTTGTTGCGTGCGGCAGCGGCTGCCAGGAAGAAGGTTGCACGTGCCACCGCCGGGTCCAGCGTGGGCGACTCTAGCAGCCGCCACACCTCCCCCAGCACCGCCTGCAGCGCCTTCTCGTCCGGCCGCCTCCCCGCTGCAGTCAGGGCCACCCACGTGGCATACACAGGCACGCAGGCAATCAGGGAAGTGTTGGCAACAGCCCATGGCAAGGCTTGCCCCAGTCTATTCTGTGCACTCGGCTTCTCAACAGCTATGGCGCTGCCTGGCAGTCCTCACCCAGCGTGGGATCATACAGCGTGGGCGTGCCCGCCGACCCGCAGCACACGTATGCCTCAGCCAGGTAGTAGAGGCTGCGCAACGCCCGAACATCCTTGCCCTGAGCCTGCAGCAGCGGATGGGCGGCCATGGGTGTGCTCGGCGGCAGAGGCCCCTCTCCCCAGCTGCTGCCTCTGCTCGACAAAAAAACAGCACAGCATGACGCTGCTGCCTTCTGCCGCGGTCAATGGCGGTTCTGCCATCTGCTGCAGCTGCCGACAAACACCAGCCACTGCCTCGGGGCCGCACCTGGAACAGCGGCACCACCAGCTGCATGGACTCTGGCGGCAGCTCCTCGAAGAAGAAGAGTCGCAGCAGCAGCCCCCCCAGCTGCTGCCGCGCATTCTTGTCGTTGGACCGCACTGCCTCTGACAGCCCCCGCAGCACCTCCTGGACCCCCAAGCCCTGCGGCGCCAAAGAGGCGGCGGGCGGCAGTGGTGGGGTAGGGTGCGCAAGTGCAGCCAAGCATACCCGGCCTGCTGCTGCTACATCGACATCAATCGGTGCTGCCAAGGCTGGGCAGAGGGGGGAAGCGCGCAGTCACAGGCAGCAAGCTCATGTTGGTTGCTGTGTGGAGTGATCGCCGGCCCTGCTCACCTCTGGGCGGTTGAAAGCACGCGTGCTGACGTAACGGGACAGCCGTGGGTCCCTGCCAAAGGGAACCGGTGCGGGCTTGGCCTGGGGGGCAGCGGGCAAGGCTGCTGCCGGTGGAGGGCTGCGCCCAGCGCTGCTGACCAGCTTGGCAAGCCGCCGCCCCATGCCTTTGCTGCCATCCTTGCTGCTAGACATCGCACTCGATCGCTGGCTCACTCGACCATCTGGCTATACAGCGTCCTGCGAGGCGCTGCTGCGATCACTGATGCGACAGTTCGATCGAGCTCGCGGGGACGCACATAGAGGGCCCGATGTACAACCTTGAGGTACCCGCCACCTCAGCGTTGACCGCCGATATCGTGAAGACTCCTGGGCAAGCCCCGGAGAGCTGATGCCGCATGATTGGCCGGCCAATGCTGCACCCAGGCTTAATTGATGCTAGCTGAAGATATCTGACGAATGTAAGGGTTACCAGGGCAGCAAAGACAAAGGCAGGCAGCACCACCGGAGTCAGGATTCTTCCGCTTCCGCCCACAGGGCCGCCAGCTCTTGGCAGTCGTCGGCGGCCGCAAAGCCCACCCGTTCCCCCGTGTCGTCGTGTATCGTCAGCACCCGCTGCCGTAGGCGGGCGCCCAGCAGCACCACGGGGTCCCGCCAGGGGAAGATGGAGAGGCAGACCAGGTGGGCGCCGCCTGTGTCTGGCGCCACCAGGTACCCCAGGGGCGAGGCCACAAACGAGGCGTTGCCGCCAAACCGGAACTCTATCTCGGGAAACGCCAGCGCCAGCTCGGTGGCGTTGCTGGTCAGGGCCCCCGGTGTCAGCCCATCCCAGCACGTGGTGGAGCTGCGGTTGGAGACGAGGGCGGTGTGGCCCCGCGCCGCCGCCGCCGCAATGACCAGCTGCTGCAGGCGGTCGTAGGCGGCCTCGGGCAGGCGCGTGTAGGTGGCGCCGCTGTCCACAATCGTGTTGCCCGTCTCGGAGAAGGATGCGCCGCTGCTGCTGCTTTCGCTGCCGCTGCTACTGCCACTGCCGCTACTACTGCCACTGCTGCTACTAGTGCTGCTGCTGCTGCTGCCGCCGCCGTCGACAGTAACGACGACATCATCCTCCCCCAGCAGGAAGTCGTCCGCCAGCTCCTGCTCCATGGTGCCGCCGCCCTCGCCCCGCACCTCGATGCCCTCCAGCTGCACCTTCCACTTGGAGCCGGGCAGGGCTGGCGCCCACTGCGGCTCCAGCGCCTCCAGCATCGAGTCGGGGGCACCCAGCAGCAGGTAGGAGTTGGCCACCGTTTCGGGGCTGCCCTGCAAGCATGTCACCACAGGGAGGCCCGTGGGTGGGCTGGCTCCATGGCAAACTTGCTTTGCTCTGCCATCCCAGCCCTTGCACCCCTGGCCTCACCTGCTGCGTGCCGTTAAAGTCAAGCTCCCAGCAGGTGGCAAACGCCACGCGGTTGCTCAGGTTCTGCTCACGCAGCTGCACAGCCGCGACGGCAGCATGGGGGCCTGCTGGTTAAAAGGCTGGGGCCTGGTGTTGCAGGAGGCAGGCGGGCACAGTAGGGAGCACGGCAGGCAATGGGCGCCAACTGAGCATATCTGAACAGGCACAAGCAAGCAAGGCTTTCGCGCGGAGCAAGGTCAGGCAGCAAAAGCTTGCCCCACCTGGCCGACAAAGGAGGTGGAGGAGCGGTCCAGGCCCAGCAGCCCCACCAGCCCCATGCTCTGCAGCACGCCCGTCTGCCGCTGCTCCACGCCAAACCTCATGTCGACATCGAAGCCGCTGCCATTGGCCAGCGTCACGCGGTCGCTGACCAGCAGGCCGCTGCTGGAGGAGCCGTCGGCTGCAACCAGAGTGGGGGAGGGGTGGGAGATGGGGGCGCAGGTTCTCACAAGGATGCCTTGCTGAATGAGGCCCCCGCTGGGAATGGCACAAGGCAGAAGGCAGTCGACAAAGGTAAGGCCACGATTCCAGAATCTGCAGGCGCCCTTCCAGCAGCGACTCGCCATAGAAAAGCTGGTAGCTGCACGAGGCTTCCCCTGAGCCCAGCGTGTCGCACTGGCACTGCATGCAGCCGCACTCGTCGCCGCACCCCACCACCACCCCCGTGCTGCTCGCAGACAGGTTGTAGCCGTCTGCCTCGCTCAGGCCCAGGCCGCAGGTGCTGCCGCAGCCGGCGCCAGCCAGGTGCGTGACGCCAGAACCGGTATCGATCATGACGTTGAGCGGCTGCGGCGGCGTGCCAAACGAAAGGCCCGCAATGAACACGCCTGTGGTTTGGCGGCGCAAGGAGGGGGGCGTAGGGGAGGAGCATCAGCCACAGGCGGCCACCATGTACAGGTGAGGGGCTGCGGCGGCCCAACTGGGCAGAATGGCGGTAGCGGCGGGCGGTGGCGGCACCCGTCCCGAGGCCTCACCATACAACGACGTGTTGGCATACAGGTTGTAGAGCAAGGACTCGCCCTGCCCTGGCCCCAGCGGCTGGAATTCTATGGGTAGCACCACGGCGGGATGTGCGGGCAGCGGGAGGAGGACAAGCAGGGCCAGGCACCCGGCCCACAGAAGCTGCATGGGTGATGCAATGTTGGTAATGCTGCCTGCTCCCGAAACTTGCGTGGTATCGAGAGGTCCCCGTCCAGGTGGGCGCCCATGTGTTGCCCCCTGATGTGGCACCCTCCCGATTGGGCAACCCCCGCCCCCGCTCGCTCCTGGCAGCCCGCGCGGCGCTCCCCTCCCATACGTGAACTGACCCCATAGAGCCATGTTTGAGGGTTGAGCGGGGCGGAGCGGGGCTGCTTGCACACGTGATGGCATGCACGCTTCAACGCTCCCGCTGTCATCTCACCTCTCTAGCGTCAGAAATACAACTCTTACAAGCCAACCAACACGAACAGAGAGACCGAACAACAGAAATGAACAGGAAATATGAAGCCGCCACAGGCGGCAGCACCTTCCAGCGGAGACGGCAAAGCGTACAAGGCACACTTCTTCAATGGTTCGTGCAATTGCCACCCTTACCGGTTATACAGCCACAGTGCCGCCCACACCGCGCACCATTCTTCTTGCAGCTGCAGTTCCGGGTGCAGGCGCCGCGGCAGCCGCAGCGCACGGCTGCCTTGCCGCCGCCGGGCTGCGCCGCCATCGCCACATTGAGAGACACCACAGGCACTCCTCGCTGCGCCGTGCCGCTGAAGGTCAGCTCGCTGGCCAGGCTGGGTGGCGCCTTAGATAGCCTGCTGGCCTGATGCATACCCTCCACCACTCCAGCTCCGCTCCGCAGCCGGTACATGGTCACGCCAAAGGGCCGCTTGATCTCCACCACGCGGCACACGATGCGGTTGCGGCCCAGCTGCTTGCCCACTTGCCGCGCTCGG